TCCGCCTGCCCCCGCATGTCTCCCCTGTTCCTCCTTCCTCCCGCCTCCTTGCACATCCTCCTTGTGGTGGGAGCGGGGGAAGGACGAGGCGGGGAAGAGGGAGAGAAAGCGCTCCTCGTGGTTTGAGTCGTTCGGGCTTCTCGTCCTGGTGTGAGTCGTTCGGGCCCTTCTTCCTGGTGTGTGAGTCGTTCGGGCTCTTCGTGGTGTGAGTCGTTCGGGCTCTTCGTCCTGGTGTGAGTCGTTCAGGCTTTTCGTGGTGTGAGTTGTTCGGGCCCCTCGTCCTGGTGCGAGTCGTTAGGGCCCCTCCTCCTGCCCGTCCAGAAACGACGCCCAGGCGAGTAGAGGGTCGTCCTGATGGGCTTTTCGGCGTCTTGGGTGCCTCGGGGGGGCCTCTTTGGGCCGTTTGGGATTCTCTTAGGGGCCTCTTGGGGCCATCTTGGGGCCTCTTGGTGCCTCCTGGGCGCTTCTTGGGGCCATCAAATCAATGATTTTGGCTTGAAAGAAGAGGGGAGTTTTAATTAGCGCTGCCCCCTCAGAAGGCCAAAATGGGGCCAACACCATAGTAAAATTATCCCGGCAAAGCAACCTAACAGCGATGTGTAGAAGCATATCTGAAAGCATTCCCCTTAAGATTCAGATGAAAATCCAGTTGTCGAATTCTGCTGTTCTCGCAGTCGTAGTCGCATTCGCGATGACAGTCGCAGCGGCAACGGCAGTCGCAGTCACAGCCTCAGCCTCAGCCTGCCTCCTCCTCCTCCTCCTCCTCTTTCTCCTGCTCCTCCTCCTCCGCACCGGGCACGTGTGCGGTCCGGCCTTTTGCGCAATTTGAGAGAAGAAGAAAGAAGTTAACATATTGCAAGGATGCTTCACCGGCTACATGTATGTCAGAACGATCAGAATCATGTGCAACAAATACACCAGAACGAGAGCGCACACGCCGAGGACCTCCGAAGTGGAACAGCGACCACGGACCTCTGGCACGCAAGTGGAAGTGCAACAGAGCCTCGCCGAGATGTTTGGGGAGGATCATCGTGCCTCCAAAACCCCAGTTTCGGAGCACCCAGGGGGGACATTTTGAGAATATGCCCGTATGGACGTCAGTTTGCAGAGACCGATGACGATGAATATGTTTATGTTGATGATGATGATGATGATGATGATGATAATGACTATCCGCCTGCACGTGTCCTTGCGTGTAGAGCGATGACGACCATGATGGGGATGATGGTGATTATGATGATGATGATGATGACGACGATTTTCTTTTCCAGCCGCCGCGCAGTCCACACGACCGTGTTATCCCAAGCGCTGCGTGCAATTGTTGCCACTACTACTACTGCTACTACTACTGCTACGACTACTACTACTACTACTACTACTACTACTACTACTACAAGTACTACTACTACTACTACTACTACCACTACCACTACTACTACTACTATTATTACTACTACTACTACTACTACTACTACTACTACTACTACTACTACTACTACTCTATTACTACTACTACTACTACTACTACTACTACTACTACTACTACTACTACTACTACTACTACTACTACTACTACTACTACTACTACTACTACTACTACTACTACTACTACTACTACTACTACTACTACTACTACTACTACTACTACTACTACTACTACTACTACTACTACTACTACTACTACGCTACTACTACTACTACTACTACTACTACTACTACTACTACTACTACTACTACTACTACTACTACTACTACTACTACTACTACTACTACTACTACTACTACTACTGCTACTACTACTACCGCTACTACTATCACTACTATTACTATTACTACTACTGCGTCCACGAGTACGACCACGACTACGACTACGACTACGACCACAACTACGACTACGACTACTACTACTACTACTACGACTACTACTACTACTACTACTTCTACTACTACTACTACTACTACTACTACTACCTGTATTACTACTACTACTACTACTACTACTACTACTACGACTAACTCTACGACTA